ATCCCATATAATACCTGCAGACTGCAGCCAATGGAAATGCTTCTCTAGCGGTGCGCGTGCTGCTCCTCACAGCACAGATCGTTAAAGCTGACTGCAGTTTTTGTCATTCGTTATAAGTGTAGAGACGATGTAAATAATCGATTCAGTGTGCAGTGTAGAGAGCTTCATTAATTATCACGATGAACTAAGAGGAGTGACAGAATTTGAATGATTATAAAGGGAGTTTGCAAATGTGAAATTGAATTTATACAACATTTTTATACATTTTTTACTTTATACATGAGTTAATTTTAAGTGACTTACATTTTAGGAACACTGTTGTCTGATTATGCTCTATTTCCTCAACTAAAATAATTCCAAACAAACCACAGCTGAGCCGCTGCGCATCTCCAAGCAAACACAGCGCTGTTTCGTTTATTTACATTTTAGGAACACTGTTGTCTGATTATGCTCTATTTCCTCAACTAAAATAATTCCAAACAAATCACAGCTGGCTGGCTGCGCATCTCCAAGCAAACACAGCGCTGTTTCGTTTATAAATGAATCTGTGTTTTTGAACAAATCTAGTGAGTCATAGAGGGAGTCACTTGCTTTGTTCTTAAATGAATCAGCCATTTGAACGAATCGATTGAATGAATGATTCAGTGACAAAGACAGTGACTTGCTGCCACCTACTGGTGGTTTCAGTTTCATTTTAAAGTATAAATTGAGACATTTAAATTGTTTAATATTTCTACATTCAAAACTTTATATTTAAAACATTAATTTCATAACATTGTCATTATGAAATACATTAATGAGTCTTGTCAAAAAGTCTGTAATGCCACATCTGTGCTCTTCTGTGCCATGCAAAGAAGAATTGTTGATGCTGCTTTCATTTGACTAGTAGGTTAACTTATTCTTCCTGATTGTATCTTATTATTTTAATTGAATTGATTGTTTTTGGATTTATAAAAAATTTTTGGCACAAAAGATGGCGTACATTTAATAAAGTCAAAGGCATTACAAAGGTTTAAAAAAAGGAGTCAAATATCGTCTTATAATAGGAAGGTTAATTTCTGTCATTCATCAGAAGGTGATCCTAATTTTTTTTTTTAAGTAGGAGCACAAGTGCTCTTGAAAAGAAATGTAAGCGGCGTAGAGAATGTAATGTTACTTTTAAAAACTAATTGCAAACGTTTATGCAAAGTACTGTAAACTATTAAATATAATCTACAAATCATGCAATACTGTACTACTCCAAATAATGTTATTTTTAGCAACATCATATGACCCCTTTAATGTTATTACAGATTATAAAGGGTTTTATAATTAAATACATCTGAAAGGTAATCTAAAATTACCACTATTACAATTAATTTTCAGGTAAAATAAATGTTCAGGTAAAATCGCTAAAGGCAGGTCATTTGTTGCTAAAGTCATTAAATAATGTCACAACATCACTGCATGCTAATGTCATTATGCAACCACGACGCAAAGTGCGTAGAATACTCACTGACATTATTTAAAAAATTCTGTAATTTTCACCAGCATTTTACCTGTATTTAAATTACACATTGCATTTCGATAGATGGATGGATAAAATTTGTTTTTGTTTTGTAGATAAGATCAATAGTGGAAGGGGAAAGTTTCACTGTTGATCACAGTGGATAACAGTAAATGATTAACAATCATAGGTACAAAACCAGCTGATCTGCTGCTAGGCTGGCTAGCTATTTCAGTACTTTTTTCTTTTTGTGTGGTTAAGAGGAAATGTACACCTCTTATAATTTTATTACTTGGTAAAAGTTGCCAAATACATTTTTAAACAGCTACATTTGTTGCTAGGCACTTCGAAAAACAAGTTGCTAGGGTAGTCTGAGAAAATGCTAAATCTAGCAACAAATAGCCAAGTTGCCAACACTGCAAGCTACTTAGGCATTTCAGCATGTCCCGCCAAATGTCACAAACCACTCCCCTTTCCCACGACCTACAGCGGCTGAAGAAAGCGTGACACAGGCCCACGCATCTCAGTCTTTTCTAATAACCCTTTTTCCTTTTCAGCGACCTCCAGGTCCCACAGCAGACTCTAGCGCGAGGCTGCCTCCGCTAGCGGTGCAATCACAAACCACTCCCCTTTCCCGCGGCCTACAGCGGCTGAAGAAAGCGTGAAGCTTTTTTTTTCTTTTCCTCCTGTTACTTTTAACCTCTTTTCCTTTTCAGTGGCCTCCAGCTCCCATAGGAGACACTAGCCCAGAGGTCGAGTTAAGCGTGAGGCTGCCTCCGCTGACAATCGTGGCCCCTGCTCCTCTCCCTCTCAGCTATCTACTTCATTCAAAATCCCAATATTCTCTTTTCACAGCAACATCACTGCCCGTCCCACTATATGCTGTTGCCTCGGAGCCACCCTGTGGCTCACAACATCTGAGCAGTGAGCACAGATCCTGGCAGGTGCAGACATAGACCTCTCATCTAGGGCCGTCACTAATGATTAATTTGGTAACCAAAGTTACAGAGTTGTCGGTCGATTATTCTGATGATTAATCAGATAATTATAATTTATTTTTTATAGTAATAATAAAAAAAGGCCTAATCAACAATAGCCTTTAAAATTACCTAAAACCATATCTAATGGTAATGAGGCCATAATAATTGGTTCAAATAAAGTATCAAAAGCAAGTAACAAGATGGTTTTGTTGAACAAAACTTAACATAACATATTATAAACAATATAATGTACGATAAGCATCATATTAAAAGCCTATAGAAGGCGCCAATGGCCTGGCGATTGTTTTACATGTCACTGCATGATCCGATCCTTGTTTAAACAACACTTAATTAAAATGTCCACTTAATCTTTAATATTTGCCAATTTCTTTACAACAGAATTCAGAATTCACCCCCAGCCGAACATCTCCGCTTT